GGGAGGCCATACTGACGTCACCACCACCACCACCCCCCCCACAACCACTGACCATGGACTCTAGATACGGTGACTTCGGTCTACCCGGACCCGAGCACGATATGGTACAGATCGAAGAGCAGGCCACTTTTTGCTCCGGCGATAGAGAAATAGGCGCGGCTCATCGTTCCCATGCGGCGGCTCTGGCGGCAGTCGCTGCAGTACAACAGCGCTACGCCCAGCAGCACCAACAACGCCATCACTACCATCAGCCTCTTCAACATGCCTATCCCGGCTACTCAAGTCAGCAAATGAACGCTTCTCCAGCCTACTCCAGTCAACCGACGGCAGGATTTAGTCCCGCCGGTTGCTATCCCTTCAGTCAATCAGCAGCAGGCCCCGCCCTAAGCCTGGGAATCTCGCCCCCCCCAGCCCCAGCCGGTCTTGGTGGGGCTAGTCTGGCTTCGGCTGCTTCTATGGCTGGTTGCCTTGGCCAAAGTAGGCCAGGAGAATTGGGCGAGTTCTACCTCGGAGTGGTGACAAGTGCAGGCAACTCCTGCGGACCTGTGGGCCCTGGCAACCTTGCAGCTGAAGAGGTTGGGCAAATGGGCGTGGCGGCGGCGGCAGCAGCGGCTGTTGTTGCTGCAAGAACTTGCTTCTTTCCACAAGGTTCCGGGTGTCTTGGACCCTCTAGCAGCAGCGGAACCGATAGGTCAGGACTTCCAGGAGCGCCAGTTTCTGGCACCGGCTGTCATGATGCGGATACACTAATGTCTCCTGGTGCCTCGGCTACGATGGGCCTCATTTCAGGAGACGGACATACAGGTAGGCGATGATTTCTTAAAGAGATAACTAAATGATTAGGAAGTGATGCCTTCTTTAAAGGTATCAATGCCTTCCAAAGCTCTTCTCGTCAAGCCACTATGGAATATTAAGGCAATACTTTAGGATTACGCATTATTAATAATAATGATCAATCAATTGATAATACGATCGTAGAAGGCAGTTGTCAGGGCGACTTAGTTGGAGGCACCTTGCCCGAAGTTCTCTGCCATACCAGTTAGCATAAGTCCTAGCGTCAGACCGTAGACTCGGTACAGTATCACGCCTGAAATTATGATAACTACTATGTGCGGAGGACTTCGGACAAAGTGCATCCAACTAAGTTGCCATGGCAACAAGACTAAGTTGCGAAAAGGAGGTCAATCCACTTCTATACATCGAAAGTGGACTGCGAGCATGCCGAGCGCCACGCCATCTTGGTCTACATATCTTCGAATACGACCGTAGATTTCAAGACAAAGAAGTGTGTTTTTAGATTTGATTGCCCCACCCTTTTGCTGTATAGCGTTGGTTTGATCTCTTTTCACAACTTGGTCAGAGTTACCGGAAGACCCTGTGGAAAGTACCTAGTTCCGTATCCTCTTACATAATATTCATGATAATTTTCAATGAAGGATCGTTGACGTAGTACATTCCTAGACGTTTTGTCGGCATCGCCAGTGAGACTGACCGGCTTCTTGATTAAGTGTTAACTTAAGACTTTTGAAGGAATGAACTCCAGCTCCACTGATGTCCGTCGTAGGATAGGCGAAA